ACTCCAGTGTTTGCCATTGGTCTGTGTATATGACGACAGCTACTCCAGTGTTTTGCCATTGTTCTGTGTATATGACGACAGCTACTCAAGTGTTTGCCATTGTTCTGTGTATATGACGACAGCTACTCCAGTTTTTTGCCATTGTTCTGTGTATATGACGACAGCTACTCAAGTGTTTGCCATTGTTCTGTGTATATGACGACAGCTACTCCAGTGTTTTGCCATTGTTCTGTGTATATGACGACATCTACTCCAGTGTTTTGCCATTGTTCTGTGTATATGACGACATCTACTCCAGTGTTTTGACATTGTTCTGTGTATATGACGATAACTACTCCAGTGTTTTGCCATTGTTCTGTGTATATGACGACATCTACTCCAGTGTTTTGCCATTGTTCTGTGTATATGACGACAGCTACTTCAATGTTTTGCAATTGTTCTGTGTATATGACGACAGCTACTTCAATGTTTTGCCATTGTTCTGTGTATATGACGACAGCTACTCCAGTGTTTTGCCATTGTTCTGTGTATATGACGACAGCTACTCCAGTGTTTTGCCATTGTTCTGTGTATATGACGACAGCTACTCCAGTGTTTTGCCATTGTTCTGTGTATATGACGACAGCTACTCCAGTGTTTTGCCATTGTTATGTGTATATGACGACATCTACTCCAGTGTTTTGCCATTGTTCTGTGTATATGACGACATCTACTCCAGTGTTTTGCCATTGTTCTGTGTATATCACGACAGCTACTCCAGTGTTTTGCCATTGTTCTGTGTATATGACGACATCTACTCCAGTGTTTTGCCATTGTTCTGTGTATATGACGACAGCTACTTCAATGTTTTGAAATTGTTCTGTGTATATGACGACAACTACTTCAATGTTTTGCCATTGTTCTGTGAATATGACGACAGCTACTCAAGTGTTTGCCATTGTTCTGTGTATATGACGACAGCTACTGCAGTGTTTTGCCATTGTTCTGTGTATATGACGACAGCTACTCCGGTGTTTTGCCATTGTTCTGTGTATATGACGACAGCTACTCCAGTGTTTTGCCATTGTTATGTGTATATGACGACAGCTACTCCAGTGTTTTGCCATTGTTCTGTGTATATGACGACAGCTACTCCAGTGCTTTGCCATTGTTCTGTGTATATGACCACATCTACTCCAGTGTTTTGCCATTGTTCTGTGTATATGACGACAGCTACTTCAATGTTTTGCAATTGTTCTGTGTATATGACGACAGCTACTCAAGTGTTTGCCATTGTTCTGTGTATATGACGACAGCTACTCGAGTGTTTTGCCATTGTTCTGTGTATATGACGACAGCTACTCGAGTGTTTTGCCATTGTTCTGTGTATATGACGACAGCTACTCCAGTGTTTTGCCATTGTTCTGTGTATATGACGACAGCTACTCCAGTGTTTTGCCATTGTTCTGTGTATATGACGACAGCTACTCCAGTGTTTTGCCATTGTTCTGTGTATATGACGACAGCTACTCCAGTGTTTTGCCATTGTTCTGTGTATATGACGACAGCTACTCCAGTGTTTTGCCATTGTTCTGTGTATATGACGACAGCTACTCCAGTGTTTTGCCATTGTTCTGTGTATATGACGACAGCTACTCCAGTGTTTTGCCATTGTTCTGTGTATATGACGACAGCTACTCCAGTGTTTTGCCATTGTTATGTGTATATGACGACAGCTACTCCAGTGTTTTGCCATTGTTCTGTGTATATGACGACAGCTACTCCAGTGTTTTGCCATTGTTCTGTGTATATGACGACAGCTACTCCAGTGTTTGCCATTGTTCTGTGTATATGACGACAGCTACCTCAATGGTTTCCCATTGTTCTCGCTCTCATTTTCTTTGACATTGGAGGAGCACAACATCCCCATCACTTGTCTAATGTTTCATACGACAGAAGTCATCAGTTTAACCAGTAATGACGTTACAGGGCTTTTGAAAGGAATGCGTGATTGTTGTTGTTACTGATTAACACATGTGTCTTGAACTACAGTAGTTGAAGTGAGTGAGTGAGTTTTGCGATGCTTTTAACAGTATTCCAGCAATATCACGGCAGGGGACACCAGAAATGGGCTTCACGCATTGTACCCATGTCGGGAATCGAATCCGGGTCTTTGGCGTGACGAGTGAACACTTTAACCACTAGGTTACCTGGCTGCCCTTAGTTGGAGGTCTAATCAGGAATGAGTGAGTGTTGTTGTTGATGTCACATGTGTCTCATACTAGAGAAGTTAAGGGGTTTAGCCAGGAGTGAGTGAGTTTTGTGGTTGATATCACATGTGTCGCATGCTAGAGTAGGTTGGGACTAAGCCAGGAGTAAGTGAGTGAGTGTTGTTGTTGATATCAAATGTGTCTCGAACTGCAGTAGTTGGGGGTTTAGCCAGGAGTGAGTGTTGTTGTTGAAGGCACATGTGTCTTATGCTAGAGTAGTTAGAGGCTTAGCTAGGAGTAAGTGAGTGAGTGTTGTTGTTGATGTCAAATATGTCTCGAACTGCAGTAGTTGGGGGTAGTTCAATAGCAGATGTTCTGGTTTATTTACAATAAACCTAATCTGAATGTTGAGCAAGTCAAAGGAAAAGTGCAAACATCCTATACCGAGTTTCATACAGGTCACTCTGACATCGGCTAAACACAATGTGAAGTCATCTGGCCGAAATCAATACCTTCTTGAAACATCTGATGCTCATTAATGTTTCCACAAATAACTAATATACAATTAACTAAATCTTAAAACGGGTCAAGCTGACATGCACGTCGATTATACATGTATGACTCCTCTAACAGCTGTGTTAGTGTGGCGCTACAATCCCATGCTCCTTACAGCGCAGATATAGTTTCTTATTCTCTATACCTCCAACATGGGACAACTAAATGTTACAGCAGCAGAGTATTGATGAGTAGAGTAAGAGATGACCTTTTTATTATAGCATTCTGTACATAGAGGATTAATAACACAACCAGCCTCAACATACAAACTTTGTCTCAGAGAAGCTCTAAAGGCTCAAAAGCAAAGCCCCAGTCTCTGATGATGAATAGAATCTAGTTTTTTTAAACTCACGTTTACAACCTCCACCATATACGATGGAGATGTAATCCTGTTTAGAGCGCTCTGCAGTTGGAGGAGGGTTTTCTGATCCCCTCCCCGCTTTGAACCGGAAACGACTTTCAATAGTGCAAGTGGCTTCAGGCCTTTATTTTTTAAGTAATTAATGTGTGGAAGAAAGGTTTAATTTTTTATTCACCCTTTTCTTTCTTTTTTTTTTTTTTTGATATCTTTGACGTCATGAGGAAAGAAACTTACCTGATGTCCATATGTCATCAAAAATAACGAAAAGGGTTTCTAAACATGGGTCTGGTAAATGCTTCAGGAGTTGATAATTAGTTGAAACTATCAGGGTCTTTATAGTATGTTTCTTGTAAACATATTGCACTTGGTTTGATATCTTGAAGTTAGAGTTGTAAGTCATTATATTTATTCCTAAGCCCTCTACAGTTCCATTGTATTAGATTTGATGCTTGAGCCATGGTGGCTCAAATGGTAATCTCTCATGTGAACATGAGCACCAAAGCGGTTGTGGAGAAATAATCTCCGAGGACGAGGGTGTAATGGGCGTTTGATGGACATTTAATTTTTCTTTCACCTTTTTCTTTCTTTTTTTGATGGCTTTTGTTCTGCATTTGCTGGTGCGACATGAATTGTCTCAGTATCAGCCTGAGAGGGAGAATATGTTGATTCAGATTGATTGCCAGCTTTTTCTGACTGAGTGACAGACGAAGCTACGACAGGTTGATCAGACTTGACCCATGTCAACTCAGTCTGACACAGAACAGATGGAGAGGTTTTAGCAGATTTGGCTTCAGCAGAAGAAGAATTTAGAGTAAAAATAAGCTGCCTGGCGACGGCAAAGCTGATGTTTCGTTCTTGTTTAGTTTAAGAATTATGAATTTTGTTTGATAAACAGGGCAGAATTTGGAAGTGGCCATGTGTTGCCCATCACAGTTTGAATCTTGAGGACAATCTGCACTTTCATTGTCATCACCATAACGATGACAAACCATGGGGTGTGTGCAGGTTTTCGAACCTTGTCCACTTTTTTACATTTAAAACATCTGAGTGTATTGGGGACATACACCTCCACACCGACGTTGACATAACCAGCATTTATTTAACTGGGAACAGGTCAACGGACAAAAGTGAATAAATATATGTCCGTTGGAACAGTAGTTAATTTATCATCCTTTCTGGTAAAATGACTAAACTTGATTTTTGTCCCGGCAATAGTCCTCAAACATTCCACCAGAAGAGCTCCACTGCGCAGACGTGTCACATTTTAACCTCCCCACAATGGCCATGAGCAGATCTGGATATACTGAAAGGGTTCAAATTTGATTGGTTCATGATATGTAGCTTCGATCACAAGGAATCAACATGAGTATTAGCCTTATCAGACGAACTTTTTTCCCAATGTCTTCGTCTAGAAACAGAATGATTGTTAGCCATGGTGAGAGAGGGAGGGGGTTTTGGAGGGGTGGGGGATTGTAGGGGGAAGGTATATGTGAGACTTCATGTGTCATAGAGACCTGGGTGTCTGCTAAGGGTGGATCAAAAGTATATGTTATACAATGGACATATAGACCCTGGTTTTGGGGATGGGTAATAAGTAAGTTCTGCAGCGTGAGACAAACAGAAGTAATTTACGCACATTATTAATGTTAAGGGTTTGGATTGAGATTAGTTAATGTAAACAAGAAATCTTATATTTTTCAAGTTACTTCAACACGAGACTCTTGTGGCAACATACTTTGTATGAAACACGATACTCTGCTGAAGTTGCCCGCCTTATTTGCTGCTGTGGTACCACATGTATGCAAAGGAATTTTCTGTCAGAGCAATCCCGAGTTGGCTTTTTGTCAAACACGTGAGTCAGGCTAAGTTCGATGTTTATCCAGCACCAAGACAGTCTTCACATAACTGCGGTGAGGTGTACACCATCCCAACATGATGGAACTGACAAGTGTTGTATTTATCATTCTTGTGTCGTTGTGTGGTGTCAGAGACGTACATGCTGATACCAATTTGGCAGCCTTCTCTAGAAAATTAAACCTGCTGGACAGAACGATCCAGGCGTGGAAAGGCACAGTTGTTGATTTGGGGATTGAAATGAGTAACAACTTTGACTTGCTGGAGTTATCACTGGAAGAAGAACTGACTAACAAGTTCATCCCTGCCTTGATAAAGCCTCTCGTGAAGCAAGCGATTACTGGCATCCTGAAAGAAGAATACGTTTGCAATATTATCAGCGGACGTGTGCTTGATGTTGTTAACAGCCTGAAAACCAGAGTACATACAACAAAGACACAACTTCGCTCAGTTAAACGAAAGTTCAGACTAGTTAAACGCGAAAGAGACTCTTACAAAGAGAGTCTTGGCAAATTACGAGGCGAGCTGACCAAAGAAATCCATAGGGACATTCAGGGAATACAGCAAAGGGTAAGTGCAGACACTCACACACTTCACACATTCACCTATATCAGACCGTAAAGCCTGGTATTTTTTATCAGAACCAGTCTATTTAATAAGCAAGGTGCTCTATGCATTTTCATGAGCCTGTGTGTATTTGTTATCTATCACCTGTTGTTGTCAATGTTAATCTGCTGCTTATCACACCATGGAATGCATATATATATATATATATCTCATCGCTTGGTTGTTGTCACTCCAGCTTGATAACGGTGTTAGAATCTACATTGAAACGTCGCTATATACAATAATCCAGAAGTTGTTATCCATAAATGTGTACGTTTACCATCTCGAATGATAAATAATTCCATATAAGGTAGTGCGTATTACGATGGAGCCATGACTCACACCGACAGGAATGTTTTTAGTAGCAATGCATATGGTGTTGATGTAATGAAGCAAAGAAATTGTCGACTGTTTGGGAAACAGGTTTGGAAAGCAGCAGCTTGCCTGGCTAAATTCCAAGTACTCTCAGGTTTGGTGTCAGTTCACAAGCCCCCAGACATTCAACAGGCTATTTAGCCGAGCCATTACATGCCTTAAGATCATGCCGTTTTACCTTTCATTTGAAACCATGGAAAAATAGAGTTAGCCGTCTATATGGCATTAACACTGTAAATATACCCCCCCCCAAAAAAAAAAAACCGCACAGGTGAACTATAAATGTTAAATTTAGTTAATGTAAATTGAAACAATGAAATAATTGTTTTCCACCGCAAATCACCCATGTTTTAGGTCCCCAATCGTAACCAATCACCAAAACACCTCACCAGATGAAACATTAACCCTAACCCTAACGTCAACATAGGGTTTACAGGGCATATCAATATATGGTTTACTGGGCATGTCAACATAGGGTTTACAGGGCATATCAATATAGGGTTTACTGGGCATGTCGACATAGGGTTTACTGGGCATATCAAACTAGGGTTTACTGAGCATATCAACAAAGGATTTACTTGGCATGTCAACATAGGGTTTACTGGGCATGTCAACATGTGTTTGTTTTTTTGTTCATATCGATATTGGATTTACTGGGCATGTCGACATAGGGTTTACTGGGCATGTAAACATAGGATTTACAGGGCATGTAAGCATAGGGTTTACAGGGCATGTCAACATAGGGTTTACTGGGCATGTCAACATAGTATTTACTGGGCATGTCAACATAGGGCTTACTGGGCATGTCGACACAGGGTTTACTGGTCATCTCAACATAGGGTTGATTGGCATGTCAACATAGGGTTTACTGGGCATTTCAACATGGTATTTGCTGGGCATGTCGACATAGGGTTTACTGGGCATGTCGACGTAGTATTTGCTGGGCATGTCGACATAGTATTTGCTGGGCATGCCAACATAGGGTTTACTGGGCATATCAACATAGTATTTACTGGGCATGTCAACATAGGGTTTACTGGGCATGTCAACATGTGTTTGTTTTTTTTGTTCATATCGATATTGGATTTACTGGGCATGTCGACATAGGGTTTACTGGGCACGTAAACATAGGATTTACAGGGCATGTAAGCATAGGGTTTACAGGGCATGTAAACATAGGGTTTACTTGGCATGTCAACATAGGGTTTACTGGGCATGTCAACATAGTATTTACTGGGCATGTCAACATAGGGTTTACTGGGCATGTCGACACAGGGTTTACTGGGCATGTCAACATAGGGCTTACTTGGCATGCCAACATAGGGTTTACTGGGCATTTCAACATGGTATTTACTTGGCATGTCAACACAGGGTTTACTGGGCATGTCAACATGTGTTTTTTGTTGTTGTTCATATCGATATTGGATTTACTGGGCATGTCAACACAGGGTTTACTGGGCATGTCAACATAGGGTTTACTGGACATCTCAACATAGGGTTTAATGGACATCTCAACATAGGTTTGATTAGCATGTCAACATAGGGTTTACTGGGCATGTCAACACAGGGTTTACTGGACATCTCAACATAGGGTTTAATGGACATCTCAACATAGGGTTGATTGGCATGTCAACACAGGGTTTACTGGGCATGTCAACATAGGGTTTACTGGACATCTCAACATAGGGTTCACTGGACATCTCAACATAGGGTTGATTGGCATGTCAACATAGGGTTTACTGGGCATGTCAACACAGGGTTTACTGGACATCTCAACATAGGGTTTACTTGACGTCTCAACATAGGGTTTACTGGACATCTCAACACAGGGTTTACTGGGCATCTCAACACAGGGTTTACTGGACATGTCAACACAGGGTTTACTGGACATCTCAACATAGGGTTTACTTGACGTCTCAACATAGGGTTTACTGGACATCTCAACATAGGGTTTACTGGGCATGGCAACACAGGGTTTACTGGACATCTCAACACAGGGTTTACTGGGCATCTCAACACAGGGTTTACTGGACATCTCAACACAGGGTTTACTGGGCATCTCAACACAGGGTTTACTGGGCATGTCAACATAGGGTTTACTGGGCATGTCAACAAAGGGTTTACTGGACATCTCAACATAGGGTTGATTGGCATGTCAACATAGGGTTTACTGGGCATGTCAACATAGGGTTTACTGGACATCTCAACATAGCATTTACTGGGCATGTCAACATAGGGTTTACTGGGCATGTCGACATAGGGTTTACTGGACATCTCAACATAGGGTTGATTGGCTTACAAACAATTTGTTCCCTGTCTGCGCCGGCCAAATCATTCAATAAAATAATCGAGAGTGTTTCAACATAACCACTGTTTAGTGTCGATGCCAGATTAGAACAATTAGTTAAACCAGAAATGTATACGCAAAAGTACTCAGTGTCAAGCCAGCACATAACAAAGAAATGTGCCATTCACAATTTCTACAGGAAACATTACTTGGCTTACAAATCTATAAAATACTGCCAAATAATTAGAATGACAATACACTATATGGTGGTAGTACACAATTCAATGGCAGTACAAAAATATCAAATTAATAGCAATGGTAATAGCAATAAAGTCAGAGATAATAAAGATTCCAGATTGTACTTGTACCCCAGAGAATCAACGTACAGTAACTTCCACATCACTGCTTACATTATCTAGTAATACATTCCTGACAACGGTTTATCACTAAAACACAATGTCATGAATTTCCACTGAATCCTTACATAAACAATGTAATCCATTACAACATTGCCATGTTACAAAACCAATTAGAGACCTGGCATCACCGTTAGCAATGGCTATTTTAACACTATATGAATTGAAAGCATGGATCTATAAGGTGAATAATCCTGTATATACACAAACTGTCAGATAAACAGTGATGTATATACTCAAACTATCAGTTTATACTCCTGTATATACTCAAGCTGTCAGGTAAATACTCCTGTATATACTCAACCTGTCACGTAAATAGTCCTGTATATACTCAAACTGTCAGGTAAATACTCCTGTATATACTCAATCTGTCAGGTAAATACTCCTGTATATATTCAACCTGTCACGTAAATAGTCCTGTATATTAACAAATTGTCAGGTAAAGACTCCTGTATATACTCAACCCGTCACGTAAATAGTCCTGTATATACTCAAACTGTCAGATAAATAGTCCTGTATATTCACAAACTGTCAGGTAAAGACTCCTGTATATACTCAACCTGTCACGTAAATAGTCCTGAGTATACTCAAAATCAGGTAAATACTCCTGTATATTCACAAACTGTCAGGAAAATACCCCTGTATATACTCAACCTGTCACGTAAATAGTCCTGTATATACTCAAACTGTCAGGTAAATACTCCTGTATATTCACAAACTGTCAGGTAAATAATCCTGTATATACACAAACTGTCAGGTAAAGACTCCTGTATATACTCAATCTGTCAGATAAATAGTCCTGTATATTCACAAACTGTCAGGTAAAGACTCCTGTATATACTCAACCTGTCACGTATATAGTCCTGTATATACTCAAAATCAGGTAAATACTCCTGTATATTCACAAAATGTCAGGTAAATACTCCTGTATATACACAAACTGTCAGGTAAAGACTCCTGTATATACTCAATCTGTCAGGTAAATACTCCTGTATATTCAAAAACTGTCAGGAAAATACTCCTGTATATACTCAAACTGTCAGGAAAATACTCCAGTATATTCTTGTACTCAACCTAAAACTCAGGTTGCTTTTTTTTTTTTATCTTTTAAAACTTCGAATTTTGCAAACGTTGTGACTAACTTTCGCTTGCCATGGTGACCACGCCCAATGACATAATGGACCGTTGTCCCAGTTTTGCGGGGGTGGTCTGGTAGCCTAGTGGTTTAAGCGTTCGCTCGTCACGCCGAAGAACCGGGTTCTATTCCTGACATGAGTACAATGTGTGAAGCCCATTTGTGATGTCCCCCGCCGTGATATTGCTGGAATATTGCAAAAAGCAGCGTAAAACCTCACTCACTCCCAGGTTTGCTCATTTCGTTCTAATATTTGTGTTTTTAGCATGATTAGTTTATGAGTGTGTTGATCAAATGATCCACCAGACTAAATTTAAATTTCATCATTACAGATACAGGAACTCGAGGAACGTGATGCGCTGCGTGAGAAACACATCCAAGACTTGACGGAACAAAAACAAAAAGGTTGGATTTCTATAACCTGTTGGGAACATTGAAAACTGTCTTTATCATGAGCATGTGATGATACCAGGTGTTTGCGAAAAGGGGAGTCAAATGCGGGAATTTCGTCGGACATCATTTTTGTCACTGACGCGTCAAATTTTGATATGTCCTCCATATATTTACCATAAAGCTTTTGAAAGCTTCACTGAGGCCTTGAGTGTTGTAACCTTGATTAAACAACGACTGAGCAAGAGTCAGATGATGGTCTTTGAAATCTTGGCAAAAAGAGCGTGCTTGATTGTACCTCAAAAGTGGTGAAATATAAACACCAAAGGCTGGAGTTGATGGAATGCAGACTTGATACACCAGCCATGTGTTTCTAATGGCAGCGGGAAGCGTCATTAATGCGTCTAACACTGTACAGTAGACATGATACACCAGCCCTGTGTTTCTAATGGCAGCGGGAAGCGTCTTTAATGCGTCTAACACTGTACAGTAGACATGATACACCAGCCATGTGTTTCTAATGGCAGCGGGAAGCGTCATTAATGCGTCTAACACTGTACAGTAGACATGATACACCAGCCCTGTGTTTCTAATGGCAGCGGGAAGCGTCATTAATGCGTCTAACACTGTACAGTAGACATGATACACCAGCCATGTGTTTCTAATGGCAGCGGGAAGCGTCATTAATGCGTCTAACACTGTACAGTAGACATGATACACCAGCCCTGTGTTTCTAATGGCAGCGGGAAGCGTCATTAATGCGTCTAACACTGTACAGTAGACATGATACACCAGCCCTGTATTTCTAATATCAGCGAGAAGCGTCATTAATGCTTCTAACACTGTGCAGTAGACATGATACATCAGCCCTGTGTTTCTAATGGCAGCGAGAAGCGTCATTAATGCTTCTAACACTGTACAGTAGACATAATACACCAGCCCTGTGTTTCTAATGGCAGCGAGAAGCGTCATTAATGCGTCTAACACTGTACAGTAGACATGATACACCAGCCCTGTGTTTCTAATGTCATTCACATATTTTTTACCGCTATTTTGCCCTCTATACAAACTGGAATCTGTTTCGGCGGATAATCTAGATTGGTTATTTTCTTGCATTGAAAATTTATATATTTGAAGCCACGATTCTAGTTTCATCACTTGGTCTTTCCTCGTTCAGCTCGATCGTTCGTTCGTGTAAATGTTGAAAAACACAAAGTAAAAGCATGATCTATAGTATACATTGACAGGTGGTTCCTTGGAATGGCCGTTGTCCCGTGGATAATCATGATAAAGACACAATAGTTTTGTTTTCGTGCTAAATAGGCAAGGCCTAGTTGCATGGAATGTTGGCTGCCTTTTACATTTGGCGTTGATTTGGTTGGCCAGTAATATAGACATTTGTCTACATCTTTAAAAGGGACCGAATATTGAAGCATAAATGAAAATATTATCAATTGATTATTAATCTGACCTTAGTGTGATGAAGGTGCCTGACATATATGTGAAAGGCATCTGTGTATGACACGCGAAGCTAGTGAGTGAGTTGGTATGGTTTCAGCACTATTCTAGCAATATCATGGCGGGACGCGCGAAGTAACACGAATCTGTGACAAGACGTGGACGGAAATTGAACAGCATGACTATACATATTGAAACAATGCCATCTTTCTGAGTTCCTTTTTAAAACAGCTCGTCGTCCTGATTGAATTGCCAGAGGGTTTTCTAAAGCTCTGTAGATATAGCTAAGTATTCTGATAATTGGTATATAGCATGTATAGCGACCGTGTCGTCATGCATACCAACACCTGTATAGCTGGCTTACCTACGAAGAGACAAAGCAGAATATTACTGACTCTTTTAAGAAAGTCCAGTTGAGTAACATAAAGTCCCGTAAAAATAGTTATCTTATTTATACAAAGGGACAGACAGACAGACAGACAGACAAGAAAAAAATCTTTTTCATTTCGGACAGACGGACAGACGGACAGACTGACAGACAGACAGACAGACAGAGGGGGAAACAGACACGAAATAATCATTTCCGTCTCCGGCAACTTTTCAAATTGATGAGTAGGCACGGTTAACCAAGTCGTTTTCGGCGGCGGAATTCGCAGTGCAGAGTTGCGTCCCCTAGGCGTGCCAGAACACTATAATCGTGGGTTCGAATCCCAGCACCATGCCACACCGTCGTATAACCGAAATAATGTTAAAAGTTACGCGAAATAGTAGTCCTTCAGGATAACCTTTTTGACGATTCTTTATCGATAAATTAAAGATTATATTTCCTAGTAATGTTTGGATGATGTTTATATGCTTACTACATCAAACTTCCTATAACCAACGACCCACAGATTTAGCTCCCTCTGTACGGACTTCAGCATGTATGTTGTGACTGAGTAAAATGCCTGGGCGCATTCATCTACAATCAAATTTCATGTTCAGTAAATATTTTGAAAATAAGCAATAAGAAATAAAACAGCGACGAAAGGACACTTCATCACTATGTCAGAAATGTTTAACAAATTCAACATTCAAAATGGTGGCTACCGTCGCGATATCTTCGATGCTGTGTTTGCTTGTGATAAGGTTGAGTAACTGGTCAGTAGTTCTGGTAATTTTCCGATCAAAACACAAACATGAGTTCATGGTCTGATGTTTTTTAACGAAATATGTTCCCGTGGTAAAGTGAGAAGTGCAGGCTTACAGTCAACAGATCGAGTCATTACAGTCAATAGATCGAGTCGTTAAGTCAATAGATCGAGTCGTTACAGTCAATAGATCGAGTCGTTACAGTCAATAGATCGAGTCGTTACAGTCAATAGACCGAGTCGTTACAGGCAATAGATCGAGTCGTTACAGTCAATAGATCGAGTCATTACAGTCAATAGATCGAATCGTTACAGTCAATTGATCGAGTCATTACAGTCAATAGATCGAGTCGTTACAGTCAATAGATCGAGTCATTACAGTTGTCAACGTGCATGTTGACGGGGAATTAGCTCTTGGGGGAATAAAGGACAAAATCGACATCACTGTCCCGGAACGCTTTATGCACAACATGTAAACAATAAACAACAATTGCACAATGAGCGGAATACCTGCTCTGACAACACAAACACAGCAATGAGCGGACTTTCCAGCTCAGGCGTACAAGAGGTGTGTGGAGCTCCAGCTCACCTCAGGGCGTTTCCTACGAGCAGCATATCCTGCTCGAGGTCGTCCCTATGCCAGCACTCGGAATACCAAGCCTGACTACCACCGTAGTAACTGTGTAATGGTAGCACATATATAGTAATGAACAACAATGGACAGACAAAGAGACAACGACGTTGCTTTGGACATTGGACATATGGGCGTGATTAACAAACACAGTTCATGGGATGATCAATTAGGGCAATAAATGCCATACTATAAAAAGCAGTAGTTAAAGGGAAGTGATATGGTAGTCCAGGCTGACTGACAGTCAAAATACAATGAAATGTTGGTGAGGATTAACAACGGGGATTAGCGCCTAAAACGTAATGACAATTAAGTTATGGAGACATGGCTACAGGGTAATTTGCCCTTGAAGTCAAATGTACTGCAGACAATGGTAGTCATAAATCAGTCGCTTTGACACAGTCAATAGATCGAGTCATTACAGTCAATTGATCGAGTCATTACAGTCAATAGATCGAGTAATTACATCAATAGATCGAGTCGTTACAGTCAATAGATCGAATCGTTACAGTCAAAAGATCGAATCGTTACAGTCAATAGATCGAGTCGAACCTTGCTCACTCCAGTTGCCCATTCGATGACGAGCCTGTCCTGTCCTGTTAATGGTGTAGTCATTGATGGACTGAAGCTAAGTAAAGTTGATGTGAGTATAAAACCTTGCGTTTACACTCATAAAATGCTAGTATGAGTGTGTGCTGGCACATGAATGTCTAGGAAGGTACTTAGGATCAATGGTCGTCGGACCCCCCTTCCCTCCAGGACTTAGCGAGGCTCTCTCTTTAACTGAGAAACAGGGAAACGTAGACGTGGTGATTGTGCACGTCACACCTTTCCAATTGTCTTTTTTTGGTACAATAAAGGTTTTCACTGCAGTGGCCGTATTTCCGCCATTCTGATTCTGTTTTAGAATTAACATTTTTAACCGAATCACTAAGGTCATCAGATTTCTCTATTGCCGAAAAAAGATTTCTGAACAGTAGCTGACGACGAAACGAGTCACGAGACAGCCACGAGATTTTCCCGCACTGGATTTTGCAAGGAGCGGTATGTTTGATAGTGAACGACGACGCAACATTTCACCCACGGCACTGAAGCTATACGTAATTGCCAAATGCGTGGACGTATCCGTGGCAATATGGCCACCAGTTGTATGTGAGCGACGGGGATAGCGGAATACAATGTGCGTGTTTACTGGTATGGTAAAAGCCGATGGCGCTGTTGAGAATGTTTCTTTTTAATATCTCACACGTCTATCTGGAAAAAAAAATAGGTAATGGAACTTGCATCTACGCATACCCCAAAACGTTAAAAGATGGTACTTGTTGTTACCTTGCCTGTTGTTAAATTATCTTAAAACGTCATTTAATCACACTTTTGAGTTTTAGTTAAGAAATAAAGTTTGCGCTTGTGTAATAAACTATAATGTTGCCCTGAACTATTATAGCTAAAGCACGAGGACGCTTGCTTTGCTTTGACATTATAATAGTTCAGAGCAAAACTATACTTTATTACACTACACATGCGGTCAGAGCAAACATTATAACTTTTCTAAGATTGCGAATTTAAAAATACTCAATCTTTTTCTTGGAGATGGGTTTAAAATCGAATCTGTATCAACATGCCGTAAATGGAAAAACCTCGAACAGGCTAACTGACGGGCTGGTCCACTTGATTGCCTGTATACCCCTTAAGCTGATAGACATATTTACGTTTAAAATATAATACAACATGACTAAAATGTTTAGTTTATTATAATAGGTCCCATTTTCTTATCCGTTCAGTGTGTGTATATTTAAAAAAAAACATGCAGCAAAACAAAGGATTTTTGAAATTTATTTTTTCATATTAAATTACTTAAATTTAATCACGTGAACATTCCACAAATGTATTGTGGGGCCGAGCTTACATGTAAACATAGCCGAAATTCCGTGTCGCTGGTTATTGTGAGTTAAGGTGTTTTCTGTTGTACAAGTTGCAGCAACTTAAGCCATGAAATAGTGTGTTTGAGGGGCTTGCGCTACATGTTACGGTACCCGACGGGGATCGACGGCCTGGGGTGAGATATGTCGTCGCCGTGAGACGACCATGGCGGGTGAAGAGCAACAGTGGCCGGTTTGTTTGACTGCTGTCTATTGTTCAATGCCGTACGCTGAGCAACAGCACGGTGCACATGTGATTTGGAAACTTTTCTAGGATTACTCATTCCTTTGTCCTGATTGTGATTGTATGTTGTTTAACGCCACACTCAGTAATATTCAAGCTATATGACGGCGGTCTGTAAATAATTGAAACTGGACCAGACACTCCAGTAATTAATATCATGTACATCGATCTACACAATTGGGATCGATGACATGCATCAACCAAGTAAATGAGCCTGACCACCCGATCCCGTTGGTCGCTTCTTACGACAAGCATAGTCGCCTTTTACAGCAAGCAGGGGTTGCTGAAGACCCATTCTACCCCGGATCTACACGGGTTTATTGATTTATTGACTGCAAGCCTGCACTTCTTACCACAGGAACATATTTTTAAACTGGTTGAGCCCGATGTGCCTGTCCCTTATTCTACTCCAAATCTTCACGCGGGCACAATGCTTTGTCGTAGGTTAAGTATAATCGGTGCCATTGATCTTTTAGCGAAGCATCTTAGAATAAAATATAGACATATTTTACGCATGATGATGAGGTACATTTCTTTAACCAATGAAGTAGGCTTAAGTTTTTACCTCAGCATGCAATCTGAAACGCAATAAGGTAAGACTGTAGTAAGACTTGTATCACTCCACACTGTATTATTTAACAGTGATCGGCACTAGCAGCCGAGCGCCAAACCAAACCATGCTCCTAATCAGACACGTCACAGTGACGTCATAGCTCGCCCCAAGGCGTTTCTTGACTGGCAGTGAGATGTGTCACTCGTGTTAGGACGTAAACGGTGGGTAAGTTTTCAGTTTGTACTTCAGAATGTTTTTAGGAAATTAAATGAAACAGACATTGTAAATATTGTAAGATTGATGTACAATAGAATACATTTTGAAGGAATCAGGTGCTTCACACAATGTTTACACCCAGACGTTTGTTTAGCCTGTCACCAGGGATAAACAAACGTCTGGATGTACACATTCATACCTCGTTTCTACTGAAAAGCTTTTTTAATACGTATATTGCAAAATATATGGTTGTAAGTTTCATCCCCTGAACTAATAACACTTATTACAACTGAGACTGAAGACTAGATCGATATGAGATTTTTTCTAAATCTGTTCAGTCAAGTGTCGGCTATTCTTTTTCGCTCATATTTTTTAAAACGTTGTTCTACATCATAAAATGGCAGAAATCTACTGAAATACATCCCCACTACAGACCAGGGCCAAATGTGTCAGCCTTATTATTTTTACACTCAGCTTTGTTCTTCTAATCCGGAATATCTTATGTGGAACAAATGTATTTTTGCAGGGCACTAACATTGTTTTTTGAAGGATGGCAAGGAAATGTAGACTACATAAGGGCAAAATCTCATTATTTTATGACTAAGTTAGAACAGACGTTAAATGCGAAAACAATTTGGCGCATGTCACACGGGCAATCGGCATTTCAATCTTATCACTAAATAGGACCAGGTGTATATTCCCTTCTTCACACAACCAAACACCGTACCAAACATCTTGTCGTACCGGCTACAGTTTCTGCCACAGATAGTAAGCTGATCTGTGATGGGTGTACTGCCGCCATCGCTCGGAATGCTGAATTATGACAGTGCTGCAAAGAGTTTTCCTGACACTGAATTACCACTGTGTTGTACACGCGCTTAGTCAAGTAGACCTGTTGCTCTTTTACATTCATTGTATATCATCATGAAAATGTCATCACTGAAATAGTTATCTGTAGCATGTCGTATATCGACGTTTGTAATACTCTATAGCAAGAGACGAGGTAAAATGCAGCAGTTTCTGTATCTAGTAAAGAGTGTTTGTATGGGAGAGGGGGGGGACTAAAACATCGAGCAAAGTCACTTAGAACAACAAATAATTTACGATAGGTCGCAGCACTCTACATTTAGTAGCCTGTTATCATCAATTGACAAAGGCAGTATGCAGACAGAGAAGCCATCAAGACAGTTGTCGATATGACGATATAAAAATTGTGTGAAATGTCCATTGTCCTCAGACGTTGAAATGGACGAGAAATATATTTTCCTGCAGAATTACACTGGTGGACGTCATATCCTGGTCAAAATATATATACCGATGTACATTGATTCTCAGTGACAACAAACACCTGAGAATAATTCAAATACACAGGAATAACATAGAAGGCAATAACAATTAGAAAACAGTGTTCAGCATTTCACCTGTATGTACTAGATCTATCCAGTTTTGTTATTCACTGTACAGTTCTAGATATTATGCAACAACAAAATAACGGACCAACTTGCGGGCGTTGTCATTACAAATCTTCCTACAATCAAGGAAGTCAGACTAAAATACTAATCATTCCATAATTGGGAATAAAGAGTAGGTAGCTGATGTAATACCCTCATCGAATGTTCCAATATAATAAATGCACATATTCTGTGTTTCAGTTTATTTGAGATCCGGTCTCTTCTGTGTACAGCAATATAAACTAACATGTTTAGTCCTAAGTCCTTATAATGGGAACATATAAAACCCTTTCAAAAGGCATATGTTTACGAGCCTAGTCGTTGTGATATCTGAACTATTGGGATGTTTGGCAAGGACTATAGGACGAGTGCCAATTTCTATCGCTGGTGTGGTATTGTTCATTTATGATGGATGTTGAATTACATTCAGTTCCTGCAACATTTCAACCAAGGGAAAACCCGGGATCGATTCCCCCACATGGGTACAACGTGTGATGACCATGTCTTGTGTTCCCCGCCCAGATATTGCTGGAATATTGCCAAGAGCGTGTAAAACCCAACTCACACAACCCAACCGAACAGCATATTTTGTGTTTCAGCCTCGAGCGACCCGAGTCGGGACCGGAGCCACAGAGAAAGGACTGCACAGATGATGACAGTGACGACCCATGGTAGGTGGTGAGAACCCAGCAGATGGTAGATACTGTCACTGTCCAACTTTGTAACAAATATAAGCCTGAAAGTTCACTCCATAAACCTTCATATGAACAGTCTCTACAATAACAAGCTGATAAATGTAATCTCTTATTATCCAAATAATTTGAAACAAGTCAACAATTGGCAGCAGCACCGTAAGTTTCAATCCAACAAGCGTGTACAGGCGCGGCTCAGATATACATCAATCTCAATGTGTGTGTTGTATATTTATCGTTTAAGTGATTTGTTAGTCGCTAGACTACCTTATAGTTATACCTCTACTAAGATAAATGGTTTTAAAATTGTATTCATCAGTCAAAAATTTAAATACATAAACTTTGTCGAAGATCAATCTCAATGTTTGTGTTGTATATTTATCGTTTGAGTGATTTGTTAGTCGCTAGACTACCTTATAGTTATACCTCTACTAAGATAAATGGTTTTCAAATTGTATTCATCAGTCAAAAAATTAAATACATAAACTTTGTCGAAGATCTTGTATGTATAATGCTTATGTGGTCTGTATTGTTTTCTGAACAGCATGTTCTGTGTTTCAGCCTCGAGCGACCCGAGTCGGACCGCAAGGACACCAACTACTATTTGACCACTTTTTAAATGGTATTGTGCATTCATAAGGCATATTTTGTGTTTCAGCCACCAGTGCCCCCAGTCGGAACGGGAGCCACAGAGAAAGGGCTGAACAGATAACAGTGACAAAGTCTGATCTACATGGTAGGTAGGAGAACCGAGCAGGTGGTAGATAGTGTCACTGTCCAACTTTGTACGAGATGAGGTCACATCAACATGTATCAAATATAAGCCAGAAAGTTCACTCCACAAACCTTCTTGTGAACAGTCTCTACAATAACAAGCTGATAAATGTAATCTTTTATTATCCTATTAATTTGAAACAAGTCAACAATTTATTGACAGTACCGCTATAAGGCTCAATCCAACAAGCGGGAACTGACGCGCGGCTCAGATGAACAGCATTCTCAGTGTTTGTGTTGTATATTAAGATAGTCGTTTGAGTGATTTGTTAGTTTCTAAACTACCTTATATGTTTACCTCTACTAAGATAAATTGAAAGATGAATTCTATTCATCAGTAAACATATCAAATGCATAAAATTTGTAGAATGGCCATATTTTGTATGGATAATGCTTATGTGCTTTGTATAGTTTTCTGAACAGCATGTTCTGTTTTCAGCCTCGAGTGATTCGAGTCGGACTGAGAGGACACCAGTGACGACCACAAAAAAACCTGCTACACAGGGTAGGTTGGAGAACCCAGCAGGCAGAAAGCTCACACTTTAATCCCTCCAACAATTAACAAGCTTGGGCATAGACCCGTGTTGGATCTGACTTCGTAGTTGTCAGTTGTGTAGATTGGTGCTCATGTTATCAACCACTGGACTGTCTGTATCAGACCCCGCCATCTTATTGCTGGACTACTGCGGAGTGCGGCATAAAACAAAAACAAACAGGCTGACATAAACCAATGTCATGTCTTAATATCCTCACATTTTCAAACAGCAACTGTACTGACAGTATTATCTTATAAAGCTCACTTCATCAACTCTCCAGCCATACACAGAATAATGTTACAACTACTGGATGTATCAGAAATATTTTAAACATTGAATACATAATCCTTGATTTCATGAACCAGCTGTCGTCCTTCCCCTTGATCGTTGTATTGTCAACCATGTTGGAAGTTTTTGATGTCGTTTCCTGTCACCATTTTGAGACGTGAGCACAGTAGATGTATGACGATGATGTCTGGATGTGTACAGAGTTTACTTTGTGTTACAGCGACTCCATCACCAGCAGACTGCGACGTCCTCATGGACGCCAGCAGAAGGGGGAACCTGGAGGAGATGAAGCGGCTCCTGACTCTGAATGTCGACGTCAACTGTAGGGACAGTGATAGCAGGACACCGGTGATGTGGGCAGCAGGGTTTGGACACGGAGAAGTGGTGGAGCTCCTGGTGAGGAAAGGAGCCGATGTGTCACTGGTGGATGAGGACGGTAGCAGCATTCTTCACTTCGCCTGTTATGCAGGAGACATGGAGATGGTTAAGTTTGTGCTGTCACTGAACGTCTTGGACATCGAAAGTAGAGGCGCGTTGAGCAGGACACCGGTGATGTATGCAGCAAGGTGGGGACACAGAGACGTGTTGGAGCTCCTGGTGAGTATAGGAGCCGATGTGTCACTGGTGGACGATGACGGTGACAACATCCTTCACCTCGTCGGTTGGGGAGGAGACATGGAGACGGCGAAGTTTGTGCTGTCACTGAACGTTGTGGACATCGACGCCAGGAACAACGACGGGCGGACAGCGGCGGACGTGGCGAGATCCGGGAGACGTCGGCAAATTGCGGATCTGCTGGAGTCCCGCGGCGCTCAGTGACGTCAGTGCCGTGTTTGTGTAGACGGTGAAGAAGACCTGGCAGTGACGTGGTGTGCCGTTCACGTCATCATGTGTCTTTATTTACGTGAAACTGTTTGTTGTTTTAGGGGATGAATAAAACTTGTAAAAGCTTTTTCAGACATGTTCTCATTTGTTGTGTTCGGATCAGGTAAGAAAATTGTTAACTTGATTGTTAAGATGATGTGGGGAATTGGTATGTCAGCACCGCACCTCGCGATATGTCCATGCATGTCGTTATATATGTCTGTGTTAATTTAACGTCATAAGTTTTTACTTAATCGTCAATCAGACAACACACTGTTTGTTTACATCTTGCTACAATTTAACATTTGAAACCTCACGCTGCGCGTACGGTTCCATATTCAATTGAGCGTGGTTTATTCTACAGGTAACCTAGCTCTACATTAAAAACACAGTTTGTTGATTCCCATTCTACCATGACTAAATAAACAAAACCAGTGTTTTGAGTGGGTTATCGATCTGAATTACGGAATCACCGAACAAAATATGGCGCTGTATATACTCAAGCAGTTTGTTTACACCGTATAATACTTCACTCGAACATATGACAGGCATTGAATGCATATAAGCACGGCAACTTGGTAAGCTAACATGAGGTGGGCGTCCCTAAAGAAAAACAAAGAAAGCTTTGCAAGGCGTTCGCTCTACATCTCGCGTCAGCATTATGACGTCATGTCGCTCAATATGAAATGTGTGAAATGTAAACAAAGCAAAATACAGATTTTACACAGTGTAGCATTTTCTCCTATTTTGAGATATCATTTCGTCTATTTGTTGCTTACATTGGCTCAACATTTTCAGAATACACATGAGTAGGCAATCGTAGGAAGAATAAGGGAATTAAAAAAACCACAAAGCAATGGTTTGGTGAACTGAACAAAAATGGTCTTCGTTTCCGTCCTCTGTCACGCACATCGACAGCGAAATTTTGACGTCAGTTTTCGACATTTACTGCAGGCTATTTTAAGTAGTGAATGTATAACCTTATACATAAGCATATACATCCATTTCATATATATTTATGTTGTTCAGATATTTGGCAGCTGCTATATAAAAAAGAAATCGTCGCACAGTACTTCTGTCGGTGTACGATTAAAAGCGGCGAAATTTGTTGTTTGTCAACGCAGAATAAATTCTTGGACAACACTTCCGGGCGGACGTTCTACCATTGGACCACGGTGGCTGTCCATGACGACATAGTATACAATAACTCGTAATTGTTCAGAGCTTTCAAATGAAAATAACATATATCTTATATTACCGATTCTTGTGTGGTGGTAATGCTTTAATCTCTACATTTAACCCTTGTCCGTGTGCTCTTGTTCTATTCAGCAAACAGTTCAACATATCAGATAACACTGACACAGCCTAGCTTTAGCGGGATTCTCCGTGACTAACACTTAGTCGATTCAAAAGAACCTTTCCTCTTCTGGTGTTTTCATATGTGGAATCAAGGAAACTGGACTAGACAAGGTTTAGTTGATACAGACCTGCCTAGGCTTTTATTGAAGATATATATAAACATTGTCCGTTGGATTTTATTTTGAAGATACATATTTGTATCTACCTCAATTTTATTTAGGGGACTAAATGTGTGTCTTCTGACACTGGAACTGACAAATAAGAATATCACATTATTGTCCATTGTCCGAAGTCAATTCATCGTTGATGCCGTGCCATTCTATCGCCCATTTATTATAGTCAATTTGACTGGAATGTACATTACTCCCAGACAGGATAGGGAAGTGCCAAGTTTCAAATGTTTCGATGTCAGCAATATCCCAGTGATATGACAGCGGTATCTACAATATTTCAGTGACGTGTACATGATCACGCACCTACTGATATCCAATACAATCGTTCTATTCTATCGGGAAATTAATTGAATCAGCAGTGACATGTGATAATAATTTGCCATCTATATCTTTCTTGGTTGGTCTATCAATATTTTATCTCACAAAGGTGGGAACATTGTTCCGCATACATACATGTATATTGGCTACTGTCATTGTCCGACTGACACATCACTTACCCTGTGACGTAATAAATATGAATGCGCGCATTCCAGGAAAACTCGCAATATTTCGGTAATGTTTTTGAGAGAGGGAAAGCGATTTTAAAGCACAGAATTAAAGAATGACATTATATGATAAAGAGGTTATCACGCTTGTGTGTTTGGGGATGGTAAATATACTGTATTAGGAATAAACACTATGTATTTAGCTCGCCAAGGCTCGCTAAATACAATGTTTATTCCTAATGCAGGATATTTACCATCCCCAAACACACTCGCGTGATAACCTCTATACACTTTGCAGGGACCAAATCTTTTGAAAACTTTTAGAAACATTGAAAGGGGTACATTGGCTATCCAACTATATTAAAATAACCACAATGGTGTCGCACATGCGCGTGCTGTAGCACCCTAATATTTAAGTAAGTGTTTGTGTTAGTAAGAAAGTGCTTGAGTGTGTGTTTGATTGATTGAGTGAGTGAGTGAGTGGATGCATGTTTTAAGTAAGTGTCGTTGTGAGTACGTGCTTGAGTAGGTGTTTGAGTGAGTGAGTGTTTGAGTGAGTGAGTGAGTTGATGCGTGTTTTAAGAAAGTCTTTGTGTAGGTAGGTGATTGTGATAGTAAGTAAGTGATTGAGAGCGTGTGCTTAAGTAGGTGTTTGTGTGATTAAGTAAGTGCTTGAGAGAGGTTTTTAAGTAAATGCTTGAGTGAGTGTTTGTGTGTGTGACTTGGTGAGTGTTTTTAGTATGAGGTTTTGTAAGTAAGTGTTTGTGTGAGTAAGTAAGTGCTCGAGGGTGTGCTTTAAGTAAGTGTTTGTGTGAGTACGTGCTTTAGTGCGTGGATGAGTGCTTTAAGTTAGTCTTTGTGTAGGCAAGTGTTTGTGTAAGTAAGTAAGTGCTTGAGTGAACTGCAAAATAACTTATTCACTTGATGTTTGCAACATAATTTGATGTACCATAAATACCGCATCTTCTTAATTGTATACATATATATGCCTTCATCTGTACCATGATGTGGATTATGCCCTAGGCCTCCTCTGTACCATATCCTTTTGAGAAGTACCTGTATTCATAAAGCTGTATTGCTTTTCGAGTGTATATGTATCCTGTGTATATGACTGAATAAAAATCTATAAAAAAAGTAAGTGCTTGAGTGTGTGTTTGAGTGAGTGAGTGAGTGAGTGAGTGGATGCGTGTTTTAAGAAGGTCTTTGTGTAGGTAAGTGATTGTGTGAGTAAGTAAGTACTTGAGTGAGTGAGCGAGTGAGTGAGTGGATGCGTGTTTTAAGAAGGTCTTTGTGTAGGTAAGTGATTGTATGAGTAAGTACTTGAGTGAGTGAGTGAGTGAGTGAGTGAGTGGATGCGTGTTTTAAGAAGGTCTTTGTGTAGGTAAGTGATTGTGTGAGTAAGTAAGTACTTGAGTGAGTGTTTGAGTGAGTGAGTGAGTGGATGCGTGTTTTAAGAAGGTCTTTGTGTAGGTAAGTGATTGTGTGAGTAAGTAAGTACTTGAGTGAGTGAGTGAGTGAGTAAGTGGATGCGTGTTTTAAGAAGGTCTTTGTGTAGGTAAGTGATTGTGTGAGTAAGTAAGTACTTGAGTGAGTGAGTGAGTGAGTGAGTGGATGCGTGTTTTAAGAAGGTCTTTGTGTAGGTAAGTGATTGTGTGAGTAAGTAAGTACTTGAGTGAGTGAGTGAGTGAGTGAGTGAGTGGATGCGTGTTTTAAGAAGGTCTTTGTGTAGGTAAGTGATTGTGTGAGTAAGTAAGTACTTGAGTGAGTGAGTGAGTGAGTGAGTGAGTGGATGAGTGTTTTAAGAAGGTCTTTGTGTAGGTAAGTGATTGTGTGAGTAAGTAAGTACTTGAGTGAGTGAGTGAGTGAGTGAGTGGATGCGTGTTTTAAGAAGGTCTTTGTGTAGGTAAGTGATTGTGTGAGTAAGTAAGTGCTTGAGTGAGTGAGTGAGTGAGTGAGTGGATGCGTGTTTTAAGAAGGTCTTTGTGTAGGTAAGTGATTGTGTGAGTAAGTAAGTACTTGAGTGAGTGAGTGAGTGAGTGAGTAAGTGGATGCGTGTTTTAAGAAGGTCTTTGTGTAGGTAAGTGATTGTGTGAGTAAGTAAGTACTTGAGTGAGTGTTTGAGTGAGTGAGTGAGTGAGTGAGTGAGTGGATGAGTGTTTTAAGAAGGTCTTTGTGTAGGTAAGTGATTGTGTGAGTAAGTAAGTACTTGAGTGAGTGTTTGAGTGAGTGAGTGAGTGAGTGAGTGAGTGGATGAGTGTTTTAAGAAGGTCTTTGTGTAGGTAAGTGATTGTGTGAGTAAGTAAGTACTTGAGTGAGTGAGTGAGTGAGTGAGTGAGTGGATGAGTGTTTTAAGAAGGTCTTTGTGTAGGTAAGTGATTGTGTGAGTAAGTAAGTACTTGAGTGAGTGAGTGAGTGAGTAAGTGGATGAGTGTTTTAAGAAGGTCTTTGTGTAGGTAAGTGATTGTGTGAGTAAGTAAGTACTTGAGTGAGTGTTTGAGTGAGTGAGTGAGTGAGTGAGTGAGTGGATGAGTGTTTTAAGAAGGTCTTTGTGTAGGTAAGTGATTGTGTGAGTAAGTAAGTACTTGAGTGAGTGAGTGAGTGAGTGAGTGAGTGAGTGGATGAGTGTTTTAAGAAGGTCTTTGTGTAGGTAAGTGATTGTGTGAGTAAGTAAGTACTTGAGTGAGTGAGTGAGTGAGTAAGTGGATGAGTGTTTTAAGAAGGTCTTTGTGTAGGTAAGTGATTGTGTGAGTAAGTAAGTACTTGAGTGAGTGTTTGAGTGAGTGAGTGAGTGAGTGAGTGAGTGGATGAGTGTTTTAAGAAGGTCTTTGTGTAGGTAAGTGATTGTGTGAGTAAGTAAGTACTTGAGTGAGTGAGTGAGTGAGTGAGTGGATGCGTGTTTTAAGAAGGTCTTTGTGTAGGTAAGTGATTATGTGAGTAAGTAAGTACTTGAGTGAGTGAGTGAGTGAGTGAGTGAGTGGATGAGTGTTTTAAGAAGGTCTTTGTGTAGGTAAGTGATTGTGTGAGT